GACTATTAGTGATGAGGGTGACTGTTACCGGTGTTTTCCGCCCGACCCGGGCATTGAGACTGCTGCTCCAGGTACTGGTGAGGCTGCTGCTCTAGGTGCTAGCGAGGCTGCTGCTCTAGGTGCGTCTGCTCCCTCAGGTGCTGGTGAGTCTGCTCTCTCAGGTTCTGCGTCGGCTTCGGCCTCCCACACCTTCACCCTTGACTCGGGGGCTTCTCGCTCCTTCTTTCGAGACCGCACCACACTCACGCCGCTTGGCCGGCCAGTTGCAGTCTCTCTGGCAGACCCCTCTGGGGGTCCTGTCCTTGCTCACTTCTCCACTGTCCTCCCGTGTCCGGAGGCCCCCTCTGGCACCCTGTCTGGTCTTTACCTCCCCTCGTTCTCTACGAACTTGGTGAGTGGTGCTGACCTACAGGATGCGGGGGTTCACCAGTTCACTCCTGCGAGTCAGCGGGTGACCCACTGCACGGACGCTCGGACAGGCCGACACCTGGCCACGTTTACACGTCGGCCGGGGTCGAGCCTGTACACACTGACCACTGCGTCTCCTCCGGTCACTGCGTCTGGTCAGGTAGCTGCGTCAGGTCAGGTGTTTGCTGCAGCGTCCAGGTCTGGTCCTGAGTCTGCCCCCTGTTCGTGTCGCCTCCTGTCTCACGAGACTCTCCTCTGGCACCACCGCCTTGGTCACCCCTCCCTGCTTCGTCTCCGAGGCATGGCCTCCCGTGTCCTTGTCTCTGGTCTTCCCCGGTCCCTCCCTCCCCTTCCTCCGGGGCCTGGCCCTACCTGCGTCCCCTGTGTCGAGGGGCGGCAGCGGGCTGCCCCTCACTCCTCCCAGTTTCCTCCGACAGAGGCCCCGCTGCAGACGCTTCACATGGACGTGTGGGGCCCGGCCCGCGTCCGTGGACAGGGTCACGAGCGCTACTTCCTGCTGGTGGTTGACGACTACTCGCGTTACACCACAGTCTTCCCCTTGCGCAGCAAGGGTGATGTCACTGAGGTGTTGATCGACTGGATCCGCGCAGCTCGTCTCCAGCTCAGGCAGAGCTTCGGCTCGGACTTTCCTGTTCTGCGTCTGCACTCTGACAGAGGTGGAGAGTTCTCCTCTGGCCTTCTGCGAGCCTACTGTCGTGCACGAGGCATCCGCCAGACCTTCACGCTTCCGGACTCTCCACAGCAAAATGGGATTGCTGAGCGCCGCATTGGCATGGTCATGGACGTCGCCCGTACGTCCATGATGCATGCGGCTGCCCCCCATTTTCTGTGGCCGTTTGCGGTTCGGTACGCGGCGCATCAGATCAACCTTCACCCCAGGGTCTCCATGCCGGAGACCTCCCCAGCCTTGCTGTGGACGGGGAAGGTTGGCGATGCGTCTGCGTTCCGTGTCTGGGGATCTCGGGCGTTTGTCCGCGACTTGTCTGCGGACAAGCTGTCCCCTCGTGCTGCTCCTTGCGTCTTCCTTGGCTTCCCCCCTGACGCGCCAGGGTGGCAGTTCTACCACCCCACCTCTCGCCGTGTTCTGTCCTCCCAGGACGTCACGTTTGACGAGTCGGTCCCCTACTACCGCCTCTTCCCCTACCGCACTCCGTCCCTCCCCCCGCCACCGCTCTTCCTTGTACCAGGTCCCCCCCCGGTAGACCCCCTCCCCCCTCAGGGTCCTGCCCCTTCAGGTGTGTCCCAGGTAGACGCAGTCGAGCCTGTCGAGGTTACTGGTGACTCTGGTGCTGCTGAGGGTGCTGAGCCTGGGGGTGCTGACTCTGGGGGTGCTGAGCGTGTGGGTGCTACGCCTGGGGGTGCTGAGCCGGAGGGTGCTACTACTGGGGGTCCTGAGCCTGGGGGTGCTGAGCCTGGGGGTGCTACTACTGGGGGTGCTGAGCCTGGGGGTGCTGAGCCTGGGGGTGCGGAGCCTGAGGGAGCTGGGCCTGCTCGTGTGGCGTCTGGCGGTGCTGAGCCTGGAGGTTCTCCGGGTGCTTCGTCTCGGCGGGAGCCACTCTCTCCACAGGAGCTGCGCGAGTGGTTTGCCCGGCGCTGGAGGCGTGCTGCTGGAGCTGGAGGTTCTTCGGCTGCTGAGGGTGCTGGTGCCGTGGGTCCCGGAGGTGCTCGTCCTGGGAGTACTGGAGCTGCTGGGCCTGCGGGTACGACTGGAGCTGGAGCTGCTGAGGGTGTTGACGCTGAGGCTACTGCTGTCGGTCCTGGAGGCGGTCCTGCTGGGGGTACTACTGGTGCGGCTGGAGGTCCTGGAGCTAGAGGTGCTGCTGGCGCTGGTGCTGCCGCTGGGGGTACTGGTGCTGTCCCTGCTGTGTCTGGAGTCGCCGCGCGGCCTCGGCCGTACTTCGTTCCGCTCCTTCAGCAGGTTCTTGGTCTCCCGCCTTCTACTGGTCCTCCTCCTCCCTTAGAGTGTCCACAGCCTGTCCCGTCACAGTTCCAGTTATAGCCGGCCTCCCCACTGCCCGCTCCCTCTCCCTACACTGGTCCTACTGGAGGTCTTGCTGAGCGTCGTGAGCCTGCGTCCCGCCCTGCGTCGCCTGTCCGTGCTGCTCGCACTAGTGGTCGTGGTTCGCGTCAGCGTCCTCCTCCTGTCCCTGGCACGCACCGGATGTCTCTGCGTCCGTCCACTGCTCCTCTGCGTGCCCCTTTGCCTTCTCCTCTTGATTCCTCTCTTCCTGCTCTTCCTGACCCGGAGTCGGACTCTCTTCGTGCTGCCAGTCCTACTGTCACGCGTCTCCTTGCTACTGTTGTCACTGACCCTTCCTTTGAGTCCACTGCTGCGTCTGCCCTAGTTACTGAGCTCGTCGACTTTGCTGCTCGCTGTCGTCTAGACTACGCTGCTAGTCTTGTTGCTGAGTCTGAGTCTGTCTGTCCTCCGTCCGTCGGGGGTGAGTGTGCCCTTGGCACGGACGTCCTTGAGGACAGGCAGGAGGAGTTCCAGTGTTTGGCTGCTGCTTCACCTCATCTCGTGTCCGTACTGCTTACCCCTGAGGGAGACCCGGATGCACTTGACATCCCGACTCCGCGCTCTTACACGGAGGCGATAGAGGGTCCCTACTCCTCTCAGTGGCAGGCAGCTATGGACGCAGAGATGGCTTCCTGGAAGTCCACAGGCACCTACGTTGACGAGGTTCCCCCGCCTGGGGCGAACATCGTCAGTGGCATGTGGATTTTCAGGGTGAAGCGGCCGCCGGGTTCTCTGCCTGTCTTCAAGGCGCGTTACGTGGCTCGTGGCTTCAGTCAGCGGCAGGGAGTTGACTTACTTTCAGACCTTCTCTCCCACCCCGAAGATGACCACTCTTCGGGTACTGCTGCACATAGCTGCTCACCGCGACTACGAGCTGCACTCTCTTGACTTCAGCACTGCTTTCTTGCAGGGCAGCCTGCACGAGGAGATCTGGCTGCGTCGCCCACCTGGCTTCACTGGGTCTTTTCCTCCTGGCACCCAGTGGAGCCTCCGACGGCCAGTCTACGGTCTCCGCCAGGCACCGCGTGAGTGGCACGACACACTGAGGACTACACTTGCGGCTCTTGGGTTTGCTCCCTCTACTGCCGACCCGTCGCTGTTTCTGCGCACCGACACTTCTTTGCAGCCGTTCTACATCCTCGTGTACATCGACGACTTGGTCTTTGCCACAGCTGACACTGCTGGACTCGCCCACGTGAAGTCCGAGCTGCAGAAGAGACACACGTGCACAGACCTGGGTGAACTGCGCAGCTACCTTGGCTTGCAGATCACCCGGGACAGAGCACGCCGCACCATTACCCTGACTCAGTCACACATGGTGCAGCAGGTCCTTCAGCGCTTCGGCTTCACGTACTCCTCGCCTCAGGCCACTCCTCTGCCTACTCGCCACTCGCTCTCAGCTCTGCCTTCGGATGAGTCCGTAGAGTCGAGTGGCCCGTACCCAGAGCTTGTTGGCTGCCTCATGTACCTGATGACCTGCACACGACCTGACCTTGCATACCCTCTTAGCATTCTCGCACGCTATGTTGCTCCTGGGAGACACCGACCGGAGCACATGGCTGCAGCGAAGAGGGTGTTGCGCTACTTGTGCAGTACGTCGGGCATGGGGCTTGTGCTTGGAGGGCAGAGTCCAGTGGTCCTCACTGGGCACGCAGACGCTTCTTGGGCTGACGACCAGGCTACGCAGCGGTCGTCACAGGGTTACACCTTCAGCCTTGGTTCCGGTTCTGTTTCGTGGCGGGCTACCCGCTCGTCTTCTGTTCTCGGCTCCAGTTGTGAGGCTGAGATCTACGCTGGGGCCATGGCTGCACAGGAGCTTCGCTGGCTCACCTACCTGCTGACTGACCTCGGAGAGCCGCCTCGTTCTCCTCCAGTGCTGTACGTAGACAACAAGGCCATGCTGGCCTTGTGTCGAGAGCAGAGACTGGAGCACAGAACGAAGCACATTGCTCTCCGCTACTTCCTTGCTCGTGAGCTACAGCAGCGTGGTCAGCTGCGACTTGCGTACGTGGCCTCTCAGGCCAACACTGCTGATATCTTCACCAAGGCACTTGCGCCTTGTGATCATCAGCGTTTCTGTACTCAGCTGGGCCTTGTGCCTACCTTGCCTCACTTGCTCACCCCTTGACCTTGTTTGTACTGTTGCATATATATATACGCGTGCTCTTGTTTGTCTAGCCTTATATATATATGTAATCCTGCATGTGAACTGGCCTTGTGGCCTTGAACTTGTGCTCAGAATGTGTGGTGACTTTGTGATCCACCCTGAGCTTGCTTTGCTTTGCTTGACTGGTCTTGTGACCCCTTGTTCTCCCCCACTTTGCCTATGGGGTGTGTCAGATTTATATGACAGAGCTACTGTAGGCTATAGTGGGGTAGCACATATGGGGTACAGTTTTTCTAGGGTTTGTATTTGTACCCAACTTTCCCTTAGTCATTTTCATTCCTGTTTTCTTAATTCACAGAGCTTCCGGACCCTTTCATCATCCCGAAACAATCAGAACCGAACCCAAAACTCGAAATAAAAAAACAAACCGAACCGACCGTGACAATGGCTTCCCCAAACCCCCGCCACTCCAATTTCGAGACGCGGTACGAGTTTCCCGCGTCTTTTCCGCCATATTTGTTCGCTTCAATCTGACGCTCAAATCCGGATGTCAACCAGCTTTCGAACAGGTCGGAACACAGTAGTTCCTGTGCAGATCATGCAGAAGTGTTCAGGCAGGTGAGTACCGTAGCGGTTTAAAGTGGTTGAAGAAGTGCATCGCAGTGCCATGCACACTATTGTAAATCGATTTTACAAAGCAGAATGTGAACCTAGAAAGGATGTACCACTAATGAGACACAAATTCGTACAGCACTGACAGGCCTGAAGCTAGAACTGCACTCAGAGATCGGTGCTGCGTGAAGCTTCCGGATCGGTGCTGTACGTGTAGTTCTACACCACTTCCACTGTGTGCTACTTTAGTGCAGTGCGTGCAATGCTCAATGTGGTTCTGCACGGTTGCATCACGACTAGACAAGTGTCGCGTCCAAGGCTAAGGTCGTTGGATAGTTAGTAACATCCTTGCTACAATCTCTTCACATATCCAGTGCCCTTACATTCTTTGCAAAAGACCAGTCCTGCACATCAGGCGGCAAGGAAAAGGAGCAGATTCAAGGAGGTTTTATCAACGCTGCAGTGGGAATACCGTACAGAACTAGCTACAGAACTAGGTGACAGGTAGGAGGAAGGCTTATGAGGGGCTTTTCCACTGGTCTAAGGCCGGAAAAATCCCTTTTTACTTGCTATTCAACCTCACACATCTGTGAATGGATTCAGCCAAGAGCTTGTACATGCACAGTTTACTCGCCTCCTCACACCTTCCTTGCTCCCATACCCCCCCCCCCTGCCCCCTTGCATCTCCTCCCCCTCTCTCCCTGCCCCTTAGAAACTCACCTGGCCCTTACGATCCCCTCCTGCCCCCTTTCACCTCCCACCTCCCACCCTATGTGCCCCACCTGCCCTCATGCACCCTCACCTGCCCCCATGCGCCCTCACCTGCCCCCATGCGCCCTCACCTGCCCCCATGCGCCCTCACCTGCCCCCATGCGCCCTCACCTGCCCCCATGCGCCCCTCACCTGCCCCCATGCGCCCCTCACCTGCCCCCATGCGCCCTCACCTGCCCCCATGCGCCCTCACCTGCCCCCATGCGCCCCTCACCTGTCCCCATGCGCCCTCACCTGCCCCCATGCTCCCTCACCTGCCCCCATGCGCCCTCACCTGCCCCCATGCGCCCTCGCCTGCCCCCATGCGCCCCTCACCTGCCCCCATGCGCCCCTCACCTGCCCCCATGCGCCCTCACCTGCCCCCATGCGCCCTCACCTGCCCCCATGCGCCCCTCACCTGCCCCCATGCGCCCTCACCTGCCCCCATGCGCCCTCACCTGCCCCCATGCGCCCTCACCTGCCCCCATGCGCCCTAACCTGCCCCCATACGCCCTCACCTGCCCCCATGCGCCCTCACCTGCCCCCATGCGCCCTCACCTGCCCCCTTGCGCCCTCACCTGCCCCCATGCGCCCTCACCTGCCCCCATGCGCCCTCACCTGCCCCCTTGCGCCCTCACCTGCCCCCATACGCCCTCACCTGCCCCCATGCGCCCTCACCTGCCCCCTTGCACACGCGGCAGTCCATGAGACGCCCATCCTTGCCGGCCATCTTGCCCCCCTCGCAAAACACACACGCCGTGCCTCCTGCCAGCCCCGCCACACGCACAGAGGAGGGACAGAGAACGGGGGTGACGAGGAGGAAAGGGGACGGAAACATATGGGAAAGTGCAGGGAGCAACCTGAGATTGAGCGTCAGAGAGATGCAGGAAGATGCAGGAGGGGCCGACGGCCAGCAGTGTCGCCATGGGGTGCCATGGTGCCATCGCATCAAGGTGCTACGTCATGGCGCCATGCATCAAGGTGTTATGTGGCGCCATGTGAAAAAATGAAGAGTGACGAGAGGCTTCGTGGGGTGGCATGGCAGTGAGGTGTATGAGAAGGCTCTCACCATTTCCCCCGCACTTGGCACACGGCATATGTTTTTTGTGAGGTGTATGAGAATTCTCAAAAAACATACAGTGAGGTGTATGAGAAGGCTCTCACCATTTCCCCCGCACTTGGCACACGGCACCGGGTCGCCCTGCCAGCATTGCATGCGGAACGGCGGGGCACGGGCACAGGACAGCATGCGGGGCGCAGGAGAGGAGAGAATGCGGGGCACAGGAGAGAGGAGCAGGCAGATAGGAGGCGCATAGTGAGTGACCCCGGGCGAGCGTGTGAGGCGTGGCGAGCATGTGTGCAGCGAGCATGTGTGCAGCGAGCATGTGTGCAGCGAGCATGTGTGCAGCGAGCACGTGTGCAGCGAGCATGTGTGCAGCGAGCATGTGTGCAGCGAGCATGTGTGCAGCGAGCATGTGTGCAGCGAGCATGTGTGCAGCGAGCATGTGTGCAGCGAGCACGGAAGCCAGAGAAGAAACGTAGGCGTGAGTAGGGGAGGGCATTGGAAGGGGGGGGCGTCCGGAGGACGAGCAGCGGGGAGAGAAGGGGTGGCGGAGTGGGTGCGCAGAGTGGGTGCGCGGAGTGGGTGCGCGGAGTGGGTGCGCGGAGAGCGGCACCTTGAGCGCAAGTCGCAGGGAGACGGCGGCGGCAGCGAGCGCGCCCGCCGTGAGGATGAATGTCTGCACGTCGCCCGCCCCGTCGCCCGCCGCTGCCTGCGCTACCGCCGCTCCCGCTCCGCGCCGCCGTGCGGGGGAAAGGCGACGGATGCGTGACGATGCGGCGGAAGGGCGGAACGAGGGACACTGGGTGGGGGTGGAGGCGGGGAAAGGGTGGCGCTGCAGCATGGGCGGAGAGGCGGATGGGAAGGAAAGCGAGAGACGAAGGCGATGGCGCGCCGTGGGAGGCGGCGCTGGGGTTGGGCGGCGATGCGGAGCGAGGCGATGAGGCGATGTCGGGGGGGTAGAGTGGGGGAGGAAGAGCGGCGAGGCGAGGGGCGAGTCAAAGCGGCACGCAGGCGAGCAGCAAGGCGGCGCAATGTGCGAGAGAAGTGACGGCATGGTGGTCGCAGTCACATCATAGCTGTCAACAGACCAATGAGGTGAATGGGCGATGCACTCATGCAGTTGTGGACCTAGTTTTCTTATGTGTTCGTGCTTTAACAAATATGCAACTACCCTAATGTTCGACCGTCGCAGCGAGACGAGCTGCGACTTGCATCTCACGGAAGTGAGGTACTAAAAAACGTCAGTCCGTGGGTTTAGGGATAGGCATGAGGTGAGAGACTAGCTAGAATGGCAAGCTTATCTAGTCGAGTAGAGCGGGTTGGATTTGGATTTGGTAAGGTGAATTCGGGAAAACGGATTCAGGCGCGTCCCGAGGCGCGCGGGGTCCCTTCACGAACCTATATTCGGTTCGTTTCGAACCGGTTACCCTGTCGAACCGGGTCGGTTCGACGCGGCTCGTATAAACTGTGGGAACGAACCGGGCGAACCTGCGAACCGGTTCGCCCAAGAACCGGCTCGGTCTGTTTCGAACCACTACGCTGAAAAAAGCTGGAAGTTCGGTTCGTAGCGAGCCGAACCTGACCGAACCGAACTTTGGTTCGGGGGTTTGCTCATGCCTAGTTAGCCAAACACAGCCCTGGGAGGAATACAAACTGCAGGTTTCGTGCTAGTTGTGTCGGTGCTAGCCATGGAAGGATCTGGTGACGGATGGCATATTTTCCGCATGGGTTGGCTTCGAGTCGGGCTGACTGGTGTGGTTCGATTGTTTGCTAGTGCGTCTGTGTTGAGCTGATTCGGATGGGTTACCACCACAGATTGCACAAATTCTGTGCCACGTGTCTTTGCCTTTGCCTGGGTTTTGCCGAATTAGGGCAGTTCAGTATTGCAGTCGCGGCGGGGGCGATGTGGTTACATGTTAGCGATTTCGTCAACTGAATTGTTTCTTGTACAGTTTGTCGTATGTTAATTTGAATACGGGTGCCTTCGTGTTTTCTTAGTTGTGTTGTGTTATTTTTTTTCCTTGTTTTTTTTACTGTTTCCGGCTGGTCTGCTACTGGTATCTCAATCTTCCACATTTTTATTGTAGTAGCACTTAAATTGTTCAAATGAGTCTTGTTTATTTATGATGAATTTTGTTAGGCAAACTATGCTCAAATAAATTATTGCGGATTCGTAATAGTAAGAAATTAGTGGAGTAATGTTCGTATTCCGTTTTAATAAAAAGGCACTCGTTCAGTATTGTATAGTGCACTAATTAGGTGTTATGCTGTATTGTATCATTTACAACCTGCATAATAGTAGCGTGTTTTCGTTTGTTTTGTTACGAATAGTGAGTATTGAAACATCGCTGTGCACTCCTCACCGCAGCAAGCGAAGCACGCACTACCGAGGCTGAAGTCAAAAGGGCGGAAGCAACACGAAAGGTCGCACGGTTACGAAAGCATTTGGACCGTCGGGCAGACAGCATCAGGCAGCAGCAGTGGTGAGGATTCTGCCCGGACAGTTTCGTAACTGTCTGGAGTCGCACGGTTGGATTTTGCTGTAATAAGGGAATGTACCCCTTAGAGTACATGGCTAGCTAGGTCGATTCGAATTCCCTTGTACTCTTATTTATATTCCTTGTACTTGCATGTTTCAATTATCTCAAGCATTTTATATTCACTCTGCTATTGAGGTCACGGGCCCACCACCACTATCCAGACGTGTGTGAACCTTCCTGAGACGATCCTAGGTACGGTCAATTTCTGATCGCAGCATGGTATGAGAGCGACCCAGGAATCCTTCACACTGCCACCTCCGAAACTTTCGGCGAACAGAAAGTGGCGTCCGGCACACGCTCACGTGTGAGAATGGCCGGAGGATCTGGAGGTCAGACGAATCTGACGGCTGAAGCGCAGCCCAACCCGGTTGCGACAAGCGAGGAAACGACGACGATCCCCTCCGCCGTCCTCGCACAACTGCTTCAGCGACTCACAAGTCTGGAGCAAGGGCTCCAAACATTGCGGAATGGCGACGCGGGAACATCCTCCCAACCCACTCAACCGGCCTCGAATGGCCAGAACTCCGCCCCGCACACCTTCTCTCTCGACACAAATGGCTCAACACCCAAGACTTCCTATCCCAACGATGAAGCAATTCTCTCTGCACAATCAAGGTTTTTGAGCATATAAAAAATAAAGACAAGTGTGTGCTTTGACGGCAGAGACTTCTATACTGAAGCTTCGAGCTGGAGCTGCTACTACAAAACGCGCAGATTTACCACTACTTTGACGGGAGCTACTCGGGACCTACGGAGGACACTGACGACGCAAGAACTAAGTACTACAACGAGTCTCTGATGGCGTACGGGGTTCTTCTGCGGAATATGTCGCCGACAGAACAATTGAGCATTCGCTCATACAAAACTTCGCCTGCTCCGGCCCTCAACGCTTGGCGCCACCTGAACGGTGTGTATCAACCGAAGGACTCAGTGTCGTCGAGCCGTCTGCTCCAGCAGCTACTGGAAACCAAAATGACACCAGGAGAGAAGGCCAACAGCTACTTGAATCGCTGTCGGAGCCTACGCGATCAAATCGCGAAACTGGGGAGCACTATCTCTGAGGAGATATTCGTAAACATTGTGCTCCAAGGGCTCGGCCCAGAGTGGCGGCCCTGCAAGGCGCTTCTCCGACAGCAGGGGATCATCTCGGAGGCCGCCCTTTGCGCCGCCCTTCTCGTCGAACAAAGGGATATGGATCAGCAGCGACCAGCGCCGCGACGAGACAGGGAACGCCTCGCCTTCTACGCCGACAACACAGAGGAGCGACGGCCGCGGCGCCTTTACTGCAAAAATTGCAGAAGCTTCGGGCACTTGGCAGATCGATGCAAGTCCCGATCTCGCCCCCGCCAGACCAATCCGAGCAACTGGTCCGGCCGACAAGACGCACGGAACGACACGCGTCCCGCCTAGGGGTATCAACCCCCATCGCGCAACCTGAACCCAACAGTTCAGCAGCAGCAGCAGCCGTTACAGACTGCCCCTGTCCGCAATGTCATGGGAAACATGAGAATAACAAGCGGATCCCGTCGCCCGCGCGCTCGCTTGGCATCACCTGAGCCGGCGCCTCACCCAATCGGAGCGTTCTCGGACAACAATCCGTTCAGCACGCGTCACGACTTCAGCGACGACGATAAACAAGACTGGAATCTTCCAGTTCCGCTGCTTGAAAGCCCCCTGCACATACCTGATATGCGGCCGGCACCGATCGACTGGATCGCGCGCGAACAATTCCTCAAAGTTGATACACCACACATCGTTACCCCGTGACTGGCGCTGCTCGCGCGTAACGACAACAGGCGCTACAACACGTGGTACCTGGATATCTGCTGTGGGCAGCACATGGTGGGCTCTGAGCGTTACATATCCAACGCCGTCGCCACCCCCGCCGTCACCTACATCACCGTGGCGAACAACACGCGGCTGCGCGCAAGCGCACAAGGCATCGTCGTGCTCAAGGCACATGGGAGCAGAACGCACATCACCTTGAATGACGTGCTGATTGTGCAGAACCTGCGTTTCAACCTGCTCTCGGCGGCGCAACTCATGGATTGCGGAGTTGTCCTCAGCACCGACCCCGAGACGCGCGACATCCTGCTCCACTTCACGATGCCGAACAACATGCGTAAGCAGATCGGACGAGCGCACGCCGAGAACGGAGTGTATGTTCTCGACTTCGATATTCCCGACTGCAGCGGCGATTCGCATGAGTTGATTGATCTTGTCCCCCTGCGCTTCGAGCACATTCATCGCTGGGATTGGAAGCACCCAGATGGGCGCCCATGGGTGCCGCATCACCCACACCCACGCAAGCTAGCGCTACACAACCCTGATCCAGACGGTGTCTGCAGGGACTGCCACACACCCACATCCTCGACGAGCGCGATTGCCGGCCGTGGCCTTGCCGCCATCGCCGAAGCAGAGCGGGAAGCACCGCCTGAAGAAGGGCTGTCTCACCTGGAGCTCGAGACAGCTACGCGCATCGTTTTCGGAACGGAAGAAGCTCCACTCCCAGGACCTGCATCACAACACCTGCGCGGAATGCTGCGCGGCGTTGGCGTCGGGACCTTCGATGCGGAAGGAAACTCGCGACCCTACACGCAGGAGAAATTCCTGGAGGTCTACTCTCATCAGCGCGACTCTGCGAGGAAGCTCACCGTCGCTCAAGAGGAGGAACTGGCGCGCCGCGAAGCGGAAGAACTCCGCCAACGGAGCCTTGCGGATTCACGCGGAACATTCGCCTGGAGCGGATGGGGCGAAGAAGAGGGCGCCTCCAATGAAGGGGGGTGGGGAAGCGCTGGCGGATGGGGCACAAGCGACACTGGTGGTGATACCGGCGGATGGGGAGCCGCAACCGGCGGCGCCACTGGCGGATGGGGAGCAGACACCGGCGGCAACACTGGCGGATGGGGCGCCGCATCTGGCGGCGAGACGAGTGGTTGGGGAGCCTTCCGCGAGGACCAAAGGGGGGAAGAAGAAGGAATTGAGGAGGCCACTGAGGCCGCACCTCCTGTTGTTCCTCTTGGTCGTCCTCCGCGCCGCCCTGCACCCGCACTGCCCCCAGCTGATATCCCGCCAGGAAGTGACCCTTGGGACACCATCGATTGGGGCAACGAACCATCCACTCCGCGTCGTACTGTCTACGGACCTGACCCCGAGCCGCGCGAACCGACATTCATACTCGGCACGATCCCCGGGACCAACATCCCCTACTCCATCATTCGCGACAGGGAATTTCTCGCTCTAATGCTGACCACGGCAAACGACGACGAGGAAGAAGAGACGGCAGCACCTGCTCCAGCAGCAGATGAGGACCCCGAAGCAGTACGCGCGCGCTACATGCGCACCTCTGGATTCCGTGCCGACGATGCGCTCTGGCATCAGCGCCTCGCCCACCCTTCACGCGTTACGCTGGAGAACTGCATCAAGGCTGGCGTATTCGCACCCGGCGCACTCCTGCACCCTGACGGCTCCGAAGTAAGAGGCGGAACTCACCCGCGCACCTGCACCATCTGCC